TCCAGTACGTCTACATGACATGTACCTCCACTCAGATGAAGGAGTAGATTCCGTCACTCTCCTGTCCCATCTGGACGCATCATGCCAGGCTGGGACAGCTTTTAATGGAGGTACACTTTTAGGGCTGAAGCTCCTGAAATTAAAAAAACAATTGTTTGAATAACAGGACAAGTATCCGTCGGGAAACAAAAAGGAGATTTAGGTAGGCTGGGCCGACCTGTGATCTTGAACAGAAGAGGTGGAGCTGTCTGGATTTTGGTCTCGGCCTGCTGGGTAGTCTCTCACAGTACTGCTCAGACCAGGTGCACTGTTTGAGTTAAGAATGCAGTTTATGTAAAGCCGTTATCTCACAATCCCATGGATCTGTTTCTTGATTTGTAGGTGCAGCATAATGTCCACATAAAACCCATACGTTGGGGTTAGGGTTAGGGTTAGGGTTAGGGATCAGTGGAGTGCATAGCTTAGCCAAGGCCCAAAAGTCCCCTTTATAAAACCATTATTAAATTCACTAGATCTGAACTAAATTACATACGCACATAAATATCAGTCCACTAAACGTGCCCATCTCATTTCATCAAGATCCATGAATCACTCTCTGAGAAATCAATGAAAATGTTCAACATGCCCTATCTCACAATAATGAAGAAAGGGAAAACAAGTCATGGATCTGCCCCCTGTCCTGGGTTTAATGGGTTCTTCAGTGGGTCATGCGCTTCCATCAAATTTTTTATGGAAATTCTTTCAGTACTTTTTGCTTAATCCTGCACAAAGAGAAACAAACAAACACAAACAAAACATAACCTCCTTGGCTGAGGTAATAATGAAAACGTTTAAGCCAAGTTCATTCACGTTTTTATAAACCTTTTATGAGACGATGATGTTCTTGGACTCTGCAGCTGTAGCGACAGTGTTTTCTACAGATCTGATGCAGCCAACCTGATGAAAAGCCTCCTGCACGAACAATCTACTGTCACGACTATCCCACTTTACAGTACAATCATCTACAAAAACAGATTATAACTAACATTAATGCCGACAGAGACAAGTAAAACTATTCTTTGAGGCTTGCAGACACCCCGATGTATCTAAGTACTGAAGTCTGCTCACAACCTGGACAAATATTCTGCTCTTTATGAATCTATGTCATTAAAGCCATTTGTCACCGCAGGTTTGTGGCAGACATGAGATTGTCAAAATCAACCTGTACCACTGCTAAATGCTAAATTCGAGAGTGAATTAACATCATCAAGATTAGTGAAACAAAATAACTGTTCCATGGAAACAGGCAGTGAGGAGCTGCAGGGTGTTGGCCATTAATCAAGAGGCATTCAAGCACAGATGGTGAAAGGGTAAAAATAACAGTAATGAATTAAGCAGAAATGAGTCATTGAGGGGAAGGTGTTTCTAGCTGTATGTAACCAGTTGGCTCGGCTCAGTCGAGGCTCTAAATGAATTCTTAATGACATCCATTTTGACTACTCCTAAAATTAAGTGCTCGGTTTAATAGGTGTGTGTTTACATCTGCTGCAGCGATGGAGGGATGGACACAGCACAGTCAGTCACCTCTTACATCAATCACAGTAACAGTCCCTCACCCGAGTCCAGGAGTGCCGGGTGAAGATGGCTGCAAGGTTCCTCCTGGTGACTCTGTGCGATGACATCTGGCTGCAGGCCCTGAATCAGATTCCTAGTCACAATTGTTAAAGAAGTAAAAAAAACAAAAAATCTTCATTGACAATTCCATGTTTATGACAGTGGGACACAATGAGGACATATGCAACTGCTAGACAGAACAGATAGCCTTGTGTGTTTTGCGTCCTCCAGCTCCATCATACCTCTTACTCAAACTTTAATTCGTTGCACATGTGCTGTTTGCCAAAAACAGAACAATAAATACTCAAACCTGTTGCGAATGTACTGGCAAGGAAAACGGCCTGCTTCCTGCTTGGAAGATCCAAACTGCACATGTAAGAGGTGTCTGTCAGACTTCCTCTTTGTCACTCAGTTATAAATTCCCAGGCCGTGCTCAGATGTGAGTGAGATATTGTTCTCCATATATAAGATCAAACCCGTGGAGAAGAAGCCAGCAGTGTCTGTTGGTCAGATGTTGCTGCTTAACATCGCCTTTGTGGTTGGTTTTCCTAAAATGTGCACAACAGCCATCAAGGCCAAGCTGAATGTGTGAGTGTGAATCAGAGACCTTCTTCTTCTCAGTCAGTGCTGTTCATAATTTATGAATTTTATACACATATCTTTCTCTCCAAGTTTTTCCAAACATTGTCTTTCACCGTTTTTGTAGAAGTCTCCTCAGTATTTGATTACAAACACAAAAGTGTTATTTAGTACTGAAATAAACTCTGACTCACTTATTATTCCCCCACAGTGTTGCTGTGAAACCTCAACAACATGTTGGTCTTGTTAAGACTCTGACAGCTGAGACTGTGTATTGATGCAGTTGCTGTGTTCCCTCTGAGCTGATCTCCAGGCCCTTGTCACATGGAAATCTTTGTTCCTGTGTGTTTGCCTCCTACTTATCTTCCCACCAGGACCCATTCAGCGTGATGTTGAACGGAGGATACAAGAGTCACAATGGTGCCATAAAAGCTAAGATGCTGCAGACACGTGTATCACCTTCCATCCGAGGTGGGGAACCTCTGGCATCTCGCCGCCCACGTGACAATTCGTGAACTAATTCATAAACCCCCAATAATTCTGCAGCAACTATTTTTTTCTCTGATAAAACAAAAAAGAAAAACAGATCCTTCAGTGTAATTTTCAAGCTGTTCAACAAACATCATGGGGATCGCCAAGAAAAGTAAAGGCAAAATGTCACACTACCCAAGAGAAATGGAAAAATAATTATGTTTTTGTTGCAGCAAAAGACAAGCCAGTGTTCCTCATTGGCTGGGACACAGTTATGAAAGAAGTGAAATGTCGAGCGTCATTACAGCTGTAAGCATGCAGTTAGCCTGGATGAGTTTCGAGGACAAACGCACTTGGATATAGTTACTTGCTCTTCAGAGGAGTTTGATGCCCAACAAGCAGCTATTACAGAGACCGCACTCTGACAGAAACAATGTTATTCAGGTAAGTTCTGTGGAGAGCGAGGTCACGCATAATTTTACTTTGTTTGCTGTGTACCAAACAAAGTCACGCATTCTGTGCAAACACTGTATTTTCCTACTCCGCGGGAACAAAAGTCTGATGTGTCACCTGAATATGTGATGAGTTCGCAAAATTCCTTCAGGCGTTGGGTGAGAAGAATTAGCACATGAAAAGTAAACAAAACAAACTGAACATATTTGTTAAGTGGTTTGATGTGGGACCAGCTGATGTGCCTGACAACCTACAGCGTGAAGTCATTTAGCTGGAAAGCAAAAACAAGCTCAGTACAACAAGTGCTCTCTCAGGTTCTATAAACTGGATGTAAAGTCATTGGGTTCACTGGTCCAGGGCAAAGATAAGTCATAGTGCACCCAATTGTGTCTTCTATCGATCTGTACTTGATCTAATACTGAACCTGCTACTTTATATCACCAATTTTAAACGTCTTCATTCAAATGCTTCTCTGAAATAAATCACACAAACATTCCATCTTCTTCATGTGTGGCATTATTGCCTGTAAATAGGCCCCTGTATGGACTTCAGCATGGGCATTTATTCTTTTAAATTGGAAATCACCTGGCATGCCATCATTTAGACGCTGAATTAGAGATTCTCTGATGTGTTTGGGTTTAGACAGAATCAGATATTCACTTCAGGGTAAATCCAATATTTTCTCCCCCTACAAAGCTTTTCTGGCAAAGATTGATTTTTAACCTTTGTGTTGTTAACAAATTATCATTAAATGATATTCCATTGTGTAAATGAATACACTTTTTACCTATGTGTGTAAGGGTGCTCCATCACACTTCCAGCTTGTGCCTCTGAGGGTACTGAGTGTGTTGTATAACTGACCTGCTATGTGATGATGTATAGAACTGGACAGTTCCTGTTTGTTTAATTACAGTCAAGACTCAAGACTGACTGAGCCAAATCTGGGAAACCAAGTGATAATGCCATCACCACCATCAGTACCATCTGACATCAGACACCTCGACAGTGTGATATATGTTCAGTAATTCTGTCCCATGAAGGATATAGGTTATACAAATGTAAATGGTCCTTGATAGGAAAAAGGTTCCTCACGGTAACTTACACATGCTAACATGTCCATGGAGGCCACTATTTAGAAATCATACATAGAATGAAGAGACCAGGCATCCTGTCTAATGTTAGAAAAATATTTTGGACACGCTAGCGTGGCCATTATGTCAGTATCACAGATGCTTTATGTGGAGTTGTTATATGATAGACAGAGGAAGGTAAAGCCAGTCACCTGCACACTGGAAGCCTCCTGGCTCCACCACTTATGAAAGTCCTTCTGCAGCTTGACCTTTGCCCTCTCCAGCAACAGCTGCAGGTGCTCAATCTCTGTCCTCAGTGCTTTCAGACGGCCGATGATACTCTTGTACCTGACAGGCGATATTAACAGCACCAATTCATCTTTTGCTCATATAATGCATCTTCTGCTGTGTTTCAACAATAAAAGCAGAGTCTTGGACGAAAACATATAGCTATACATTAAAATGCACTTTTACACTTACGCCTTTTTTTCTTGCTCAATCTGTTTGCAAAGGTTTTCTTCCACTGAGTCCACCTCCTCTGCAGCCTCTGTGTAATTCCCCATTACACCTACAGTAGAGTTGGACAAGTGGAGAGCATGGGTTCTAACACAGATACAAATGTGGAGATACTGTAGATAAAATCAAATAACAAGGCATCATGTCCTTGGCCTGTGTTGTGCAGATGTGAGAACAATGACAGTGCTTTGAATATTGGCTCTGGATAATAAAAGCCAGGCTGCTGTGATGTGTTCTCTGATGCGGGACTCAAAATAACAAGAAAAGCCTTTTGGAGCCTGAAATAGAGGAAGATGTTTGTATGTTTAACAACCAGATTTCCTCATCAAAGCATTTATGTCACTGATCAAAACAGTCAGAAAAGAGTAAATGAAGGAGTCTTAAAGTTGTGCCGCCCAGTCTTTGGTCACCAAGCTTTCAGTCACTGAAGCCTTCTGCAAAGACTTTGAAGTGGGTGCTGCTTCACAAGACTTAAGAGCGACCACAACGTGTTCACAGTGTTTATAGAGCCATTCTAAAAATGACCTCAATATCAAAAGATGATAAAGAGTTTCCACTTGTGACAGCATTCATCATTTCATTTGATGTCGATGATGTGGAGCCAATTCTCTGAATGAGGTACAGTTTGAACGTGGACTCTCAGCTACTCTTATTGTTTGGCTGTTGGTGTGTGTAGATGGAGCTGGTTATCATGCTGCGTCTTTGCTGTGTGAATATTCATCGTCAGCTTGATCTCACCAAAAGCTGCCCTCTGCCTCCTCCGCATCTCTAACTGCTTCTTCAACTCATCTGAAAAAGAGAGTGATGAAAAAATAAATAAAATGTTTTAATATTTTATTTTATATATATATTAAAAAAATACAAATATGTTCATATTTGTGCAATGAAAACGTTTTTAGATAATATACCTTCCCCAGTAAAGTGCAATCTGCTAATCGTAAATATGTTTTATCATAATACAAAACGTTAAAATCTTGACATTAATCCCTTAGATTTATTTTTTAACTGTGACCTAAATACATCCTGAGTAGAACATTTGTGTAAAAAAGTACTTGTTGGTGTTCTACATTCCTGTAAAATATGTATAGAATATCTAGTAACCTTTTGGCTGATATAGAGTATATAATGATACAGACATGTTACAGTCCTCAAAAAAGACTCTAGTGAGCAGGAAGCAACCTGATGGAGGCCTCTCTTGTGTCTGTAATTCTGGATTAACAAATATAAGTCATTTGCGTTCGTTATCCAGTTTTATCTGTCATCATTTGAATTTCTATGATTGAAAATCAAGATATTGAGCTTCTGCTTCAGTGACAAACTGTAACGTTGATGGATTAAAACATATTGTATAAGATTTGGTTGGGGCCTTTCTATCTACACCAGATCAGGATACATTACCTACATCAAACAAAGGGAGATAATCTCTCATTCAGATCAAAGAAAATGGTTGCAGTCAAATGATGAGGTAAATGAAAGACCAGGATAATTATGAGGCAGACTACATGATATAAGTGACATTAAATGACAGCGTTTTTTCTGTGGTGAGCTCACATTACAACCCCCAGGTCTTACATACATGTACGTCTATTTCTGTTATACGATCCTGTTGCCAATCTAAAAGCTGAGGTTCAGAAATGAGAAAGCCAGATGAAGTATCACTTTGCAGAAAATGGTGTGTGTGGAGAAACCTCTTCATGCAACACCTCACATGGTGCCATAAAACAGTGAGATTAAAGCTTTTGCTTTGTCAGAGAAGGTGAAGACACTGAATGTTAATAAGACTGTCCTGCTGAAATAACTGATTATCGAGAAATGTGACTTCAGGCTCAGTTTAACATCAACTCTCAGACTTGCAATTTGCCCATGCAACACACAGGCCAGCTCATTTTTTTGCAAACATTCTTCTTTAAAAGTAGGCTATTATTTGAGGTTAGAGACGACAGAGGAGACGTGAATGGATGATCTGAAACGTAATAAATGACACACAGTGACATATTGGGCCCACGACGGCAGTGTTTTTCCTAATTCGATGGGATATGAACCAGGGTTCGAAAACCCCTCACAAGTACATGTGTTTTCATACAAAGTCAGTTGGTTGGGAAGCTGGAAATGTAAATGAACTGAGACGCCCTGTGGCTTTACATTGTGGTCAGGTGGGCAGGCCAAGTCTTCTCCAACAGAAACAACACACACATACAATCTACAGTCACCAAACAATGTAAAGTCTCTGTTGTTCAGAAGGATTAAGGATCATTTAGAGCATCAGTATGCCATGTTGACATGGTAACAAAATGTAGGGAGCATGTAAGAGCAACATGACGAGCACATGGGGCCAGTGTTACCCATGTGGCACACATAAGTCACATCCTGTAGGCAAAGCACTTACACATATATGACGACTCGTGCGGTGCCCTTTCTAAACCTGCATGTTTGGGCTGTTTGCTTGGCCTGAGGTTTTGCTGGTTGCAGCTTTCTTTCTGAAACAGTTAAAGTGACCCACAGTAATTGAGCCACAGCAAGTAATGACCGCCTGCAGGAGTCAGTTCGCAGAACCCTGAAGCCACTGCTGCAGCTGCAGAAAGAGCTGTCCACCTGTATATTCAAAGCTCAGTGAAGGTCGACTCAGTTCCCAGCAGTGTTGTGCATGATCGTAAGTTTGTCATCTAAATCATAACCAAAAAAACAGAATGAATGAGTATGAACAATTTTCAGCAACAAGCTGATTGGCCGATGCAGAGCAGAGTGGACAGGCCGGGCTGGGATGTAAGGTGCACGTGAACATACACCCTGTGACCACCATAGAGTGCATTCATTCTGTGGGAAATGCTTATCATCCAAATTGTGCCAAATTCGACACTTCCATTTGGTTATTAACAATATACATACCAAGTATATGGCTGATAAAATAATTGTTCTAGAGGTATGAGGGCCACAGACACTTCTGGAACTAGTACCTGGAAAGCATTATGGCCTTTTATGCACACATAGTTACGTAGTGTGACAATTATAATTCTCATTCACTCTGCTCTGCACAATTTGAATCCAGTAATCTTAAATATGAGTAATTGAGCATCAAATGTTTGTTGCTGTTGGACACACTTTGACAAAAACACACATCGAAGTGATGACTGAAGAGTCAGACAACAGATCGTCTGGTCACGACAGCCTGTTGCAGCCAAATCGGACTTCAAGTTAACAGTGTCTCTGTTCGTCACTGACAAGAAAAATTCCGATAAGATACATTTGCATACGTGTCAAGTAATGGTGGCATGCGGTGTGCTTGCTTCAATACTTCACTACACTTCAGTGCTCCAGGACAAGACTGCAGGCTCAACACCACAACCTCTTCCAAACCATTCAGGGTTTCACCCCACATCGTCAGGAGACATGTCGTCGTCTTTAAGGACCGGTTTCAAGCTACAAGCCTCAATAAATATTTGGTCATTTTTGTGGGCCGGGGGTTAAATGTGATATGCCGCACAAATACCACAGTGAGCTCCAGATCCATCATGCATACTATCCAGCTTCTCAGTATCTGAGTGGGTGTCGATTCTAGTGTGTATGACGAATTAATGCTTTGTTAAGTGTGCGAACTAATGTGAAAATCCGGGACAACAATAAAAGCATTTATGAAGGTATGACTATGAGAGCTGCACATCAAAATCTATGAGAGGAAACTTATAAAACGTTGTTAATTTGAAACAGAGAGTTGGACTCAGCATTGTGTGTTTTTATTGGACAGATGTGTTCAAAGACATTGTTGTCTGGGCCTATTATATTACATAAACCACTCTGATGAACAGATGACACCATTAGCACTCAAAGTAAATCATTGAAACAGTCATGTCTAGTGGCTGTTGGTTAAAAAGACCACATTCAACACAGAAATGAAGTTGCTGTGATATTCCTTCTCAAGTGCTATGGAACTATTTTCTTAGCAACAACAAACATTTCAGGCTCCAGACGGGTGGTTTTTTCTATCTCACAATCCTTGGGTCATTTCAGCAAAGGTGAGCAGATGAAAGTGGTCCCAAAGCAGATACCAGATGCTCCATCTCGGGCTGCATTGCATAAATCGCTGCACATCTGGCAGAGAAATCAAGAAATGCTGCTCATTTCCAGCTGCCCTACACCTTTCATGCTCTAGAAGATGTGCATCGCTGATCCCTCTGAATAAATATATATGCTTGCACTTTTTGGACCTAAGGGCTTGGAACATATGCTCCTCCAGTGGGATTGGATTCCAAAGCCATGTGCTGTGGCCAAGAACAAGACTGTAAACCAGGGAAATGTTTATACACTGATGTCTCCATGGGCTACTGCCTCGCCTTTCTCTCATAGTGACCCTCACGCTGGGTACATCCATCAGAAAAAGCAGCACAACGCTTTTTGTCTATATTATATGCTAACTGTTTCCATGTTCTACAGTAACCATGAGACACACGTAGTGTAAAATTTCCAAGCGTGGCTTCCAAGATGGCAAGGAAACATACTGAACTAAATATTATGGTACTGCTTTCCAGCCAGAAGAGGCAACCACCTTCCACTAAAAACACTCTCTCATCTTGGAAGAATGCAGATCCATGCACCTAACAATGTAATAATATTTGACAGCATCAAGATGTTTTTTGGGGATTTTTCCAAATTTGAATAGTCTGAGGAATTTGGTTTCTGAATCTCATCAAAAAACTATGATGAATTAGTCAAAACCCACATAGTGCTGATGTCTGCAGAACACATTTGAAGAGTTAATATTCTACATGCTGTCATGACTGATATTCATGTGCTGCATGATATGTGACGAATGGCTGTGTCAGCACATCACACATACTGAAAGGGTGATAGATGTATGCTGGTGTATGAGGGTTACACGCAAATGTTACATAACCACTGGTGTGAGATAAACTTTTCAGTGATATGTTTCAATGAGCCACAAACACACATATAGACCAGGGAAGTTCAATTGTAAATGTTAACCAGATCGAGCTCTAAAAACAGATTTCTGAACTTTAAACTTGCTGACACCGGCTTGTCTTTCAGTATCTCTGTGGAAAAATCTGATTATTAGACTAAGTTGAATAAAGTACATCCATTTTTAACTATGATGAGGCATTCAGAAGGATCTTTTGAATCGAAATAATAAACTAAGCAATCCAAAAACCATTGTACCAAAGCTGTAATCTCATCTGAAGCTCGGGGCTTATACCAGGCCTCATTTTGGCTTAGTCAGGCTACCTGTCAAGAACATTACCCAGAAGAACACAGGGGTGTGCAGAGGGAGTCGCTATAAAACAGCCTGAGACACGCCAGTAAAAAGTGCAGGTTGGAGGATTAGGTGGGTGGAAATCAGAGTCTCTTTCTGTCCTGGAAAAGTTCAGGAATGTGCTGAACAACATTTCTATACTCCAGGGAAACTGAACATCCGGCATTCATTAACGTTTTCCAGGCAGGTACGTAGGCCGGTGTCATTTGGGACCCACAAAAAACGTTAATAAAAGTTATCAGCATTCAGCATCGGGCTTGTGCCACAGTCCTGTTCTGCCATTATGATGATCATGTTGATAATGACAGTGATATGTAGATGTATGTGTTCACAGCTGCTATACGTGATGTGTTTTTTGGAAGACAACTTACTGATTCGGTTTCTGGCTTCATTCAGATTCTCCCCGAGTCTTCTGGCCTCAGTTGACCTGTTCAAAAGACTGTAGGTGTTACTGGGCAATGGTAGCAACAAAAAAAATTGTGGTAACATAGCAATAATCATGCACAGATCTTTTTTTTATTTTGTAAGAATGAAATGTATTTATGTATAACATATCATAACTCTATTGGAATACAAAAAGTCAGTCTCCATTAGATTATTACATCCCCCAAAACTCTTAATTGTTTGTCTAAAATTACATATTCCAAAGGTTTGTGATGGAAAAAAATCCCCTTTTGGCATTAAAATGGCTTAAATGGAAATACTCAGCAATGGCACTGAATATATTTTTCTCGTATCATATAAAAGGCACAAGGGGAATATGTTACCATGATTGAAAACTAGAGGTTATCCAAGGTTTTTGTTTTATGTAAACAAAATCAATACTGGTATGAAATCTAGCAGCTCCTGCAGGTTCTTTTGATCCAAATAATAATTATCAAACTTGGTCTACACTTTATTCTTCAGTAACCCAAGGGAGACGGCTTTCCAGCCTTATTGACAGCTCACACTGTAATGCAGCATTTTTGAAAAATCCTCAGAGAATTACACAGTTATTCTTTAACTTGTATAATTTATTTGATTCATTGTAGAGGTGCAACAATTGATGGGATGGAAAAAGACACGTTCTCATTGTGCTCACTGTGGAGACTACTGAATAAGGGAGCTGTGTTATTGGATGTGAAGTTTATGTGTGTGTGTGATTTACACAGGGTCTTAGATTGACTACTCAAATGTTCCTCTGAAATATATGAGCAAATAATATTGAGTGAGACAAAAACAAATACATAATACAGCATGACTGTGCAATCAATGTTTATTGCAGAACAAAACAGCCAAAATATGAAAATGTGAATAATAACTACTTGTCCAACTGGTCTCTCACCTCTGTCTGAGCAGGCTCTTGTTGTCTTCAATCGTCAGATAGTCATCATGGTCTCTTATAAAGGTCTCAAAGGCCTCTTGCTTCCCCATCGACAGCTGAGGACCTGAGAGAGAAACAAATCCAGAGTGATTATTCTTTTATTCTAGTTTTGCATTTCACAAAGTTTTCAGGAAACCTGATAGCACTTAAATACACTAAATGGGTATAGTTCAGACAGACGTTAGATGCAATTTAACCA